ATCCTGTGATTATGCGCGTCTAAAATCTCAGATTCTGTGCCCATATCTTATTTCTAATACAGAATTTTTCTAGGGACTCTAAAGTACATTAGAAAAATAATAAAAAAATTTTCGTTCAATTTTATTTTATTTTTAAATGAGTCGTCAGTTTGTCCATCGTCATATACTTCTCTTTCCCGAATAAGTCTTTGTGTCATATCATATGAATGATCAAGAGAAGAGATGACTGAAAAAACAGAACATTGAACACAAAGGTGGACAAACATGAGAAAGAACGTGAAGAACTTATGTGCGAAAAACTTCACTGTGACAGATCAAGCATATATGCCTAAATAAGATCATACTGAAATAACTTGCACCAAATATTCGCGAAAGAATGTCTTTGAAAGCTCCAGAGTTTCGGGTGAGTTTGCTTGTTTTGGGGTTCAGAGTGCTCGTAAGGGGATGTATTCCACATGGTTAATTACATCTTGAGGGTTACCCAATAATACACTTGATCCAAGTAGTTTTGCTCACGTTCAAAGTGACAACCAGCTATCAAAGGATACTTATTTTCGCAGGGCAATGCTCTGATGCTTTCAAAGCTCTCGCTAAGTCACGGGGTGAAGAATAAGTCTCTCACTGTCCCACATGGGCAGCAGCCTTATCAACATATGGAGCCTGCAAAACAATTGAATCATTTTGTCGGGAAATCTCAATATGTCAAAGCACATCCAGACCATAATGGAAGAGGAAAAATCATTGTATCCCAAACGGGCAGTAGCTCATCAACAATTTGGTCGTCAAGATGATATCAACGACAACAAGAGTGATATGACTCAATAAGGGTAGTTAAAGGAAGAGAAGAGTAATCCCTAAAAGGTAGATGTAACCGGGTCTGACTACCACAAGTCTGTCATCTTTAGTCACTAGAACCTTAAGTTTATTTGGTCCTGAATGAGTCAACCCAACAATTCTAGAGATCCCCGGTCGGTAATCCGTGAATTACGTGTCCAAAGGGACCTCGACAACCCTAATGTTGAAGGAACGAAACTCTATCATATTGCTATCAAGTGGAGCTCAAAGAGGTGAGACTTATGCTCGCCAAAGTGGCGAGGATTCCACTGGAAAAAAAAAAGAACGAGAGGTTCAGCTACAAAATTAGAAACACTTCCAACAAAGGACGTACACCCTATCTGGGTCAAAGCACCTTCTAAGAACCTAAGCGCGCTAGACAACCACTGAATAAAAATCTATGTTGTGTCGATCGGGTTGAAAAAACACTGGGGCAGTTGTCTATTCAAGTCCTAAGCTTGGAGGCCCTGTTAGTATAACTTAAGATATGTCAATGCTATGCAACTTGTTCTAAAACCTACCCGAAGCCTATGCAAGAAAGTAAAAGATATTTTTAAATATTGAATCTTTTAATCCTAAATTTTAATTAGTCTTGAAATTTTTATTAGGATTTTTTTCAGCTAGAAAATTTATAATTTTAAGGTGTTTAGAAGTGCCTAAATTGTAATATTCATAACAACCCAAACAAATTAGAAAGAAATAATGAAAGCGATCCATGCATGTAGAGATGCAAGAAAAACAAGAAAAATAAGTCAAATATAACAAAAAACCGGTGTGTTGGGTTGACAAGATATCCCAGAAAAGAAAAAGACGGTCAAACACCACATAATCATTCATCTAGTTCTAATTCTATACATCAATGAGATTTAAAATTAAGGTACGAAACACAAGCAAACAGCTCCTGGTCCTCATCCTGTGATTATGCGCGTCTAAAATCTCAGATTCCGTGCCCATATCTTATTTCTAATACAGAATTTT